GCCACTTTTTGTTCCCCTACAGTGCCGTTTTTAATACATGCTCCGCGTGCGGATCATGCATCAAAAATGCGGAGTTAATGCATCAATGTATTCATAAATTAATCATGTACTAAAAAACATGTATTAACAACTCCCCCCTACTCCTGCCCAGGGTCACTCCTGCGTGTCGCCGAGAACGCCCAGGCGCGCCCAGGCGCACGGGGCGCCCACGGCCCGCCCAGGCGCGCCCCGCCGCGGCGAGGCCTCGGCGAGGGCCCGTTGTGCGCGGGGGGGGCGCCCACGGGCACCCCGCGACGACGGCGCGCCCCCGCGCGGGCACGGGGCGCCCGCGCGTCGGCCCCAGGGCACCTCCCCCCCCCCCCCCTCCTCCTCCTCCTCCTCCTCCTCCCTCCTCCTCCTCCTCCTCCTCCTCCTCCTCCTCCTCCTCCTCCTCCTCCTCCTCCTCCTTCCTCCCCTCCTCCTCCTCCTCCTCCTCCTGCTCCTCCTCCTCGTCCTCCTCGTCCTCTTCCTCCTGCTCCTGCTCCTCCCCCCTCGCTCCTCCCCGCCCTCGCCCTCCTCCTCCCCTCCTCCTTACCGCTGCTGCTCCCGCCTCCCCCGGGCGCCCACGCGCGGGCGCGGGGGCGCCCGCGGTGGCGCCCCCGCGGGGCGGCGCGGGGGCCGCCGTGGAGGAGTTCGATGCTTTTGGCTACGGGCGTGCAGGGCTCGCTTCGATGCCTCCGGGCCGGCTCGGCTGCCGACGCCGACTCGCTGCGGCCTGGGATGCCAGTTTGGGCTCCGACGTCTCGCTGGCGGCACATTGGCCTGCCGGTGTCCGCGGGGTCGACTTTCCCGATTCGGCTGCCGACTTCCGCCAGTCCGATTCATGCCGATCGCCGATCTGGATTCTGGGCTCTCCTTGGAGTGAGAGGGCCTACGTGCAAGCGCAGTTTGGGGGAAGCAAATGGCGAGGAAGTCTCCTGGCGAAACGCCCAGTGGCAGCCCCTCCGACACGGTTCTGGCGCGAGGAGGAGAGAAGTGGCTCGTGAGCCAAGGGGGGAAAAACCACGCGGACCTGATAATCGGCGTTTACTAAACGGCCTTGGGCGTTTATAAGACAGCCCTGCCCTGTTTGATTATCTCACTGGGTGCGTTTACTAAACGGCCTCGCGTGTCGGGGTGATTCTAGGGGGTGGATGTTTCGCCCTCTTAGTGAGGAGTAGGGATGGACGTAGGCGAGTCGAGGAGGATGCGAGGGGCCCGTGGACGGAGGAGAGGAGGGCAGGCCGGGACTGCGATCATGCGAGGGACCTCTCCAGGGCTTCGCTTTCACCCGAATTCCAACGGGAGTCCGCCCGTGGCCCTTTTGCTTGCCCTCCTCCTCCTCCTCCTCCTCCTCCTCCTCCTCCTGCTCCCCCTGTATCCTCCTCCTCCTCCTCCTCCTCCTCCTCCTCCTCCTCCTCCTCCTCCTCCTCCTCCTCCTCCTCCTCCTGCTCCCCCTGCCTGCTCCCCTGCCTCCTCCTCCTCCTCCTCCTTCTCCTCCTCCTCCGCCTCCTCCTCCCTCCTCCTCCTCTCCTCCTCCTCCTCCTCCTCCTCCTCCTCCTCCTCCTCCTCCTCCCCCTGCCTCCTCCTCCTCCTCCTCCTCCTCCGCCTCCTCCTCCTCCTCCTCCTCCTCCTCCTCCAGGCGAAGAGCCCACGGGAGGCCCGCAAGAGGCCCGGAGACGTCCGAAGGCTGCGATCCTCGGCTCTGCGTCCTCGGAGGGCCGGGGGGGCCCGTCGAGGACGGAAAGCCGGCGCCCGGATGCGCAGGCAGGGGAACAGCAGTACTCCACAGGCAAGAGATCTCCCTCCCCCCCCCTCCCTCCCTCGCTCCCTCCCTCCCCCTCCCCCCCCTCCCTCGCTCCCCTCCCCTCCCTCGCTCCCTCCCTCCCCTCCCTCCTCCCCTCCCTCCCTCCCTCCCACCCCCTTCCCCCCCCCCCTCCCCCCCTCCCTCCCCCGCTCCCCCCCCCCTCCCCCCTTCCCTCCCCCCCTCCCCCCCCTCCCTCCCTCCCCCCCCCCTCCCTCGCTCCCTCGCCTCGCCCCTTCCCTCCCCCCCTCCCTCCTCCGCTCCCTCCCCCCTCCCCCCTTCCCCCCCTTCCCCCCCCTCCCCCCCCCCTTTGCTACCCTCCCCGCCCCTCCCCCGTCGATCTTCCGAACCTCTCGATCCTCGAAGGCCTGGATCCTCGAGCCCCGGCGGCGGAGGCGCGGAGGACGGGGAGCGGCGGGGAGGGAGCTCGACGCCCGATGCGGGGTGCAAGTCGGCGCGCCCCCCAACAGGAGGAAGATTCCATCGGCGTCGCCCCAGCTCAGCGACCACAATCGGTGCGGTTACCCCGGGGTGCGGTTCGCGAATTGCTTTGTGGCGGCCCTTCCGGGGCCTCTGTGAGAGACAGTGTCATAACTGTCGTCGTTTCGAGCGGCACTGTCGTCCTCGATGTGTGCTCCACTGCACCAGAAGGAGCGACAGTGTCATGTGATTCGGTTGCATTGAGTGGCAGTGTCATCCGTTTCCCAGGGGCGGGAGGGGCAGATATGACGGGAGGCAAACCGCACCCTTCGCAAACCACACCCAGTGCAGTCGCCGACCAACATACTAAAACTATGCATGCGTCGCCCCCCCGGGGGCGACGCGCGTACCACGAAATCTTATACCATATGCGTCGTTACGGGCGCTTTCTGCCCACACCGCTCGGGGAGCGACATACCTGTGCGCCCAAGGAGGACATCAGGTATCAGTATGTCTTTGTGTGCGTCCCATTCAAGACCAGTACACGATAGTCTGGTGACGATTAGTCTTGCTCCATTGATTGTTGTTGAATAGCATATGACTATGTTCCGCTGCTGGAATCTCATCTGGCTATCCTCCGTTTTTCTCCCAGAATCCGCCTGTAGGGTGCCATGCCCGACCACTGCTCGATCCTCGGCCCAGATGGGCCATGAGGGGTCTTCCTTCTTCGGGGGTGGACAGAACCCCCACCCTGACACGTCGATTAGTGAATTGTCCGCTTTCGGTTCTCGGGAGGGCCTCGCGGCCGTCATTTTCCAGGCTTGCGCCCGCCATGTTTGGGCCCGAGGTCGTTTCACGAAGCCACATTTTGCAAAAGTTAAGAGGGGAAAAAACACACACAGAGACACAATGAATCGTCGACTCCCAGGAACATATGGGAAACTATGGGAAGTGGGGGGAAGACAAAAACCCAGAAAGCATGGGAAAGCATGGGGAATCCTGTTACGTATGTGTATTTATTTGCGTGGCCCAGGGCCCCTTCAGCCACGCTTTGCCGAAGGGGGGCTCTGTCCCTCCCCGACTTCTGCGCCCGCGACGGTGGTGCCGCCGCCGCCACTCCACGGGCCCCTCCCGGGGTGCGCCCTGGCCCGAACTTTTCTGTGGGGCGAGCCCCGCCGAGGCGGCGAGGGCTCTCCCGGGAGGCCCGAGAAGGCGAGCACGAGGCAAGATGTTCCAACCTGCTTCAGCCTTGATCACGAAAAAGAAGTTCGAGCCCCCCCCCAAAGTACCGAAGCTCAATGGTTTTCACTTGTCGGGCTCTGGGAGACACTCGTCCGACACTGTTTCGATACTCTTTCGACACTTTTCCGGGCGCTCGAAATTATTTCTGGGATGCGGTCCTTAAGTACGACGGGAGCAACATAAGGCAAGGGTAGGGTTCAGTCGGGCGTGTCCTTTCGGAGAGTTTCGAGCGTTTTTTGGCTGTTGGCCATTTTTCGTGAATCCGCCTGTAGGAGGACATGCCCGACCTAAGGGTAGGGGCATCTTTATTGCGAAGGCCTTACGGCGGGTGCCGCCGACCCTGAAGGGAAACGACGACAACGGCGGCGGCGGCGATGACGATGACGCTGACGTGGGTCAGAGTCCTCATGGATGCTTCTTGGGGTTTCTTCGAAGCGCTCTCGGAGGCCTCTGGGGGACAGTTTAGGAGCCTCTTGGGAGTCTTTTGGGGGCCTGTGAGGAGCCTCTTGGGGGCATCTCGTGGCTTCCTGGGGGCTCTCGGGGGGCCTCTCGGGGGTCTCTTGGGGGCCTGTTGGGCTGGGAGCCTCTCGGGGCCGAGGGCTCGAAACGTCCGTTCTGGTCCCTCGTCTGGGTACCCTCTTGGAGCCGACTTGGGGGCCTCTTGGGCCGCCTTGGAGGCGTCTTGGGCCGTCTCGGGGCCCTCTTGTGCCGTTTTGGGTCCCTCCTGGAGCCCTCTTGGGCCGTCTTGGGGCGATCGGCTTGCCTCTTGGGGCGTCTTGGAGCGTCGGGAAGCGGAAGAGGCGAGAACGCGGAAGAGCTTCAAGAATTCCGGGGAAGTGTGTGACTTCTCCTCCTTGGGGCCCTTTTGGGAGTGCTCTGGGAGGCCACATGCCCGACCGAAGGGTAGGGTTAAGTCTGGCCTGTCCCTCTACAGGGGGAGTACTCGAAAATTGTAAAATAGTCTGGAACGATCTTTTTAATTATGTTTTGACTATTTGAGGGCATGTTGTGATTATCTTTTATATTTCGTCCAAGATCCCCCTGTTGGGGGACACGTCCGACTCAAGGGCAGGGGCATCTGTATCTGCTCCTCGCCTGAGAGCTCTTGCCCTCTCGAGGCCTTCGCCCCGCCGGCGGCGCCCAACGGTCGGGCGGGGCGGCTCCCGCCCCACGGCCGCAGGCTGGTCTCCTGCGCCTCCCGGCTCTGGCCTGTTCCCTCCTCTCCCCGCTCCCTCGCCCTCCTCCTCCTCCGCCCCGTGCCGGAGCTCACTCGTGGAGCCCCTCGCCTTTCGGTAGGGCGGCGCCGCCATTGGCAGCGCCACAGCTGCAGCCGGAGTCGACAGTCAGGATGGGTAGCCTTCACCCTCGCAGCCCTGCTTTCCCAGTCCACTCTGCACCACTCTCGGACGGCCAGCCCCGCTCGAACGGCCTCGGCATGCGCGTCCGAGCGGTCTGCATCCCCGCCGCGCCTCCTCACTATCAATCCTGACTCCAGCGGGGTTCTCTCCCCGCCGAGGCGGCGGCCGAGGCGGAGGCCCCGAGCCGCGCGGCCTTGCCCTCGAGGCCGGCGACCTGCTGCTGACGGCCGGCAGTGGGCACCGGCTGCTGACCGTCGGCCAAGCCGGGGGTCTGCTAGGCCGCCCCGCGGGCGACGACGGCGGCGCAGGTGCGGGCGACGACGGCGGCGGCGGCGGGGCGACGACGAGGGCGACGACGACGAGGGCGACACCGACGAGGACGATGTGGGCAGCGACGGCGACGAAGATGTGGGCGACGGCGGCGGCGGCGACGACGAGGGCGACAAATCTTGGCGACGACGACGACGAGGGCGACAACGACGACGAAGGTGTGGACGACGACGGCGGCGACGACGACGGCGACGACGACGACGACGACGGCGACGGCGGCGACGACGAGGGCGACGACGGCGACGACAAGGGCGACATCGACGACGACGACGATGTTGGCGACGACGGCGACAACGAGGGCGGTAAGAAAGATGAAGATGTGGGTGATGACGGCGACGTTGACGGCGACGACAACGAGGGCGGTAACGACGACGACGACGAAGATATGGGCGACGACGATGACGCCGACAACGACGACGGCGACGAGGGCGACAACGACGAGGGCGACAACGACGACCACGAACATGTGGGCGACGACGACGACGACGACCCTAACGGGCGTGTCGGGCGGGTGGGCCTTGACGGGCGGTAACGGGCGTGTTGGGCGGGCGGACCCTAACAGGCGGGCGTGTCGGGTCGGGCGGGCAGACCCTAACGACGTCGTCTATCTTGAGCCTCCGACGTCGTGATCCTAGACGTAGTCGTTTTGACTGTTTTCGGCCTGCTGGGGTCCTCGCTGGTCCCCGGGACCGTCCAACAACGACTCGGGATGAACAGCCGGGCTTGGGGAAAGGGTTCGGACTTCTGGGAACCCCGCATTGAGAAATTCAAGACGTCGGATGTCTGGCATTCTTTCAGTGCCAGCCGCTTTTCTTCGACTTCTGTGTCTCGGGGGGCCCGCTTTTGTCCCATGGGCGATGAACAAGCAACATCTCCTCCCTCGTGGCGTCTGCGAGGCACTTTCTTTCGCCAGCGATGTGACACCGCGGTCGCGACAGAACAGCAGCGGCGTCCGCAAGAAATCAAGGCGCCCAGTTTCTGCTAAGTCCGGGCCAGTCCAGAGGCTCGTTTAGGGCCCAGACCGGTAGATGACGATACGGGTGCACCTGCACTGTCTGAGACCTCCGAACGCCCGACGAGTCCATCTGGAGCCCTCCCGCTCCCCCTCATCCCCCTCCTCCCTCTCGCTCGCGGGCGTGAGGCAGTGCGCACGGAGAGTCCCACGACCCAGACCCCCGACGCCATGATTTTTTCATTGCGTCGCGACCCCTGGAGGTCTCGACCCATTCCCCTGGACCAGCTTTTCATCCTGAGTCGTTTTTTGGCGCTCCCGAGGCCCGGCGAGGGCCCCCGGAGCCCGAAACTACCGAAAAACCTCCCGTCATGATTGCTTTTTCTTTTCCCGAGGGGGTCTGGGGAGCCCGCGGTCACATCCTACGGTCGATGACTGCCTTCCCTGGGCGAGGTCGAGGCTGCGACCTCCCCGCGCCCCGAGGGGCACGAGGCGTGCCAGTGCTCCGCAGGGCGTGCTGCCCTCCGGGCGCCCCTCGCTCTCGCCCGCCCCCCTCGCCCCCCTGAGGCATAGCGAAAGATTTCCCCACATGCTTCGTGGGGTTATGGTTTTCTTCCCTTCCGCGTCTCACCCGCGTCTCCTCCTTCTCCTTCTCCTTCTCCTCCCTCTCCTTCTCCTTCTTTCTCACCTCACGCACATCGCAGCACGCACGCACGGCAGGAGTGGCACTTTCTCGACACCACAGGGGGTGCGCAGAGGGTGGTCCCCCAGCGCGGCCTCTATCCGTGACACGCTCGCAGAGCGTGGCAGGCGCGGCACGTTCTCGACACCACAGGGGGTGCGGAGAGGGTGGTCCCTCAGCGCGGCCTCTATCCGTGACACGCTCGCAGAGCGTGGCAGGAGTGGCACGTTCTCGACACCACAGGGGGTGCGGAGAGGGTGGTCCCTCAGCGCGGCCTCTATCCGTGACACGCTCGCAGATCGTGGCAGGAGTGGCACGTTCTCGACACCACAGGGGGGCGCAGAGGGTGGTCCCTCAGCGCGGCCTCTATCCGTGACACGCTCGCAGATCGTGGCAGGAGTGGCACTTTCTCGACACCACAGGGGGTGCGCAGAGGGTGGTCCCTCAGCGCGGCCTCTATCCGTGACACGCTCGCAGATCGTGGCAGGAGTGGCACTTTCTCGACACCACAGGGGGTGCGCAGAGGGTGGTCCCCCAGCGCGGCCTCTATCCGTGACACGCTCGCAGAGCGTGGCAGGCGCGGCACGTTCTCGACACCACAGGGGGTGCGGAGAGGGTGGTCCCTCAGCGCGGCCTCTATCCGTGACACGCTCGCAGAGCGTGGCAGGAGTGGCACTTTCTCGACACCACAGGGGGTGCGCAGAGGTGGGTCCCTCAGCGCGGCCTTTTATCCGGACCGCTCGCAGAAGCGTGGCGGCAGGGCACGCTCGACACCACAGGGGTGCGCAGAGGGTGGTGCCGCGGCCCTCTATCCGTGACACGCTCGCAGAGCGAGGAGCGTGGCACGTTCTACGCAACGGGGTGCGCAGAGGTGGTCCCTCAGGCGGTCTCTATCCGTGACACGCTAGCAGAGTGGCAGATCACTTTCTCGACACCACATGGCAGGAGCGCAGGCACTTGTCCCTCACACCACAGGGGGTGCCTCTGTATACACGCTCGGATCGTGTGGCACTTGCTCGACACCACAGGGGGTGCGCAGAGGATGGTCCCTCAGCGCGGCCTCTATCCGTGACACGCTCGCAGATCGTGGCAGGAGTGGCACTTTCTCGACACCACAGGGGGTGCGCAGAGGGTGGTCCCTCAGCGCGGCCTCTATCCGTGACACGCTCGCAGATCGTGGCAGGAGTGGCACTTTCTCGACACCACATGGGGGTGCGCAGAGGGTGGTCCCTCAGCGCGGCCTCTATCCGTGACACGCTCGCAGATCGTGGCAGGAGTGGCACTTTCTCGACACCACAGGGGGTGCGCAGAGGGTGGTCCCCCAGCGCGGCCTCTATCCGTGACTCGCTCGCAGATCGTGGCAGGAGTGGCATTTCTCGGCACCGCAGGGGGTGCGCAAAGGGTGGTCCCCCAGCGCGGCCTCTATCCGTGACACGCTCGCAGATCGCGGCAGCGTGGCACTTCCTCGACACCACGAGGGGGGCAGGCAGATGGTGGTCGCCACAGGGTCGCGGCCTCTATCCGTACACGCTCGCAGAGCTGGCAGGAGTGGCCTTTCACGACACACAGGGGTGCGCAGAGCCCCACACGCGGCCTCTATCCGTGACACGCTCGCAGAGCGTGGCAGGCGCGGCACGTTCTCGACACCAACAGGGGGTGCGGAGAGGTGGTCCCTCAGCGCGGCCTCTATCCGTGACACGCTCGCAGATCGTGGCAGGAGTGGCACGTTCTCGACACCACAGGGGGTGCGCAGAGGTTGGTCCCTCAGCGCGGCCTCTATCCGTGACAACCTCGCAGATCGTGGCAGGAGTGGCACTTTCTCGACACCACAGGGGGTGCGCAGAGGGTGGCCCCCCAGCGCGGCCTCTATCCGTGACACGCCCGCAGATCGTGGCAGGAGTGGCACTTTCTCGACACCACAGGGGGTGCGCAGGGGTGGTCCCCCAGCGCGGCCGCTATGCACGACGGTCGTCCAGGGCATAGCAGGCGTGGCACTTTCTCGACGTCATAGGGGGTGCGGAGGGGGTGGTCCCGCAGCGCGGCCGCTATGCACGACGGTCGTCCAGGGCATAGCAGGCGCGGCATTTTCTCGACACCATAGAGGCTGCGCAGGGAGTGGTCCCTCACCGCGGCCGCTGCGCACGACGGTCGCCCAGGGCATAGCAGGCGTGGTGCTTTCTCGGCACCATAGAGGGTGCGCAGGGGGTGGTCCCTCACCGCGGCCGCTGGCTGGCTCGAATCTGTCCTCGATGGAGGATAGAAGGCTAGGAAGAGGGAGGAGGTTCAAGCAATATGGCGTTGGATGACACATAGAGGATCATCCGCGACGAGGGCTGAGAACGCAGAATTGCGCATATATCATAAACTTAAGCAAACACAGAAGATTTAAATTAAGTATGTGGGGTTCCTCGGTAGCGTAATTAGTGGGGGCCTTCTGCCAGAGGAGGAGGAGGAGGAGATACTAAGGCCAACAATAAGAATATTAATCATAACGCGAATCATGATACTACTAATAGTAATAGATGGTTTTTGGATCGATAGACATACGATTCATAACAACAAGTATCGTACTACTAGTAGTAGTGTTCGTAATATTCGTAGTAATACGAATAAGACGGCTAATCATATACTATTACTTCAATAATCACCGTATGTATAACATGATACTAATACTAATACGAATATAAGTAAAAGAATACATGTATCACAAATGGTAATAATGATACGCAGAGTACTACTACTACTACTACTACTACTACTACTACTACTACTACTACTACTACTACTACTGCTGCTGCTGCTGCTGCTGCTACTGCTACTACTACTACTACTACTACTACTACTACTACTACTACTACTACTACTACTACCACTACTAGTAATACGACTACTACTACTACTACTACTACTACTACTCCTGCTGCTGCTGTTGCTGCTGCTGCTACTACTACTACTATTATTATTACTACTACTAGTAATACGACTACTACTACTACTACTACTACTACTACTACTACTACTACTACTACAACTACTACTACTACTACTACTACTTATGCTGCTGCTGCTGCTGCTGCTACTAATACTACTCACTAACGTGCTAGTAATACGAACTAACGACTACTACTAAACTCACTAACTATACTAATACCACTACTAACTAACTACTACTACTACTACTACTGCTCTACCACAACCACTACGCTGACTTACCCTACTACTACGACTACTACTACTAATACTACTACTACTACTACTACTACCTACTACTAACGACTACTACGACTAACAGCTACTGCTACAAGCTACTGCAC